TGCTATGGACCCAGTGTGAGGTGTCATTGTAATGGCACCCAATCCCTAGTCTCTTACACGTTGCACACGACGGCCTTTCCCTATCGCACTGTATAGGCTCAGCTGTTAGTGCTTCTCCTCAGCCAACGGAGGACATATAGCCTATGTGTCTGGCATACTCACTTTGATCTTTCTTCTCTTGCAATAAGCACACACCAACGAGATTCGCTGTCTCTGACGTTTGGCTGGGTGTGTCATTGGCTCCAAACAGAGTGTAACTAAAGCTTCTAACGAGTATTGCAAAGGGTTTGTAAAGGGTTTGAAAGTGTTGTTTAATACTCACAGAATTCTCGATCGGGACATTTTCCCCTTTGTCTCGAATTTAAGTACGCGCATGGACCAAAAGGACAAATCAACCCCGACACGTTAAACCCGGCTAACTCCGGGTATCACAGCCGCAGATGCCTGTGTGGGTGTGTGGTACAAGACATCAGCCAAAGAATCAAGATTGCTTCTAACGGCCTTGTTTAATACCTGGTTCCGCCTTCTATGGAGATACACACGCGATGTTCTCTAAGATAAAGACGAAGCTACACTCACACGCAGAGCTGCCCTTGTGCCAGGACATCACCCCTGGGGAAAGGAAGCCACCGTCAAAGATACAGATCCTACGGAACCGGAAGCAGTTTGGTGTGAACCTGGGTGCTCTGTATGTCCAGGAGAAGTACATTGACGACACGTTTATCAGAGAAGGGTTTGAGACCGAGCTTGATGGTGTGACGAACTACATCAGCGTGAACGGCGTTGAGAAGACGAGACAGGACCTGCAGCGCCATTGGAGAAGCTACATCGATTCGATCGACTGGGAGTGGCTGAGAGATCAAGGCACAACTTGTTTGCGAGTGCCAATAGGGTACTGGCACGTTGGCCCTGGCTTCACAAGGGGTACGCCATTTGAAAGTGTTTCTCAAGTTTATGGGGATGCTGCGTGGGAAAGCTTCAAGCAGTTGTGCAAGACTGCTGATGCTAACGACATTGCCATCTTGTTCGACCTGCACGGGCTACCAGGGGGTGCCAATAAGAATGAGCACAGTGGCATGAAGTTATCGGACGCTGGGTTCTGGAAGTCCAAGAAGTATCAGTCGCTGGTGATTGAATTATACGAATTTGTCACCAAGGAGTTCCTGGCTAACGGCTTGACCAACATCTTTGGCCTACAGCTTTCCAATGAGAATGACTACTGTGACCTGGATGCCCAGAAAGAGTTCGTTGGCAAGGCAATCAATGCGATTAGAGCCTTGGACCCAACAATGCCGATAATCATCTCAGACTCCTGGGATCTGAACCTTTGGAACGAGTGGCTTGATAAGCACTCAGTGGATGACAGCACAACATCAGGCATCGTTATAGACACACACGTTTATAGGTGCTTTGATCAGAGGGACCGTGACAAGGCCGTGGACAAGATCATTGGAGACTTATCTCAGGAGCTGAACCACTGGGGAGACAAGGACAACGACATCATAGTCGGCGAGTACTCGTGCGTGCTGGACACGCAGTCGTGGGATAAATCCCAGGGCGCGTCCCGGGATGAGCTGGTCAAACAGTACGGCCAGACAGAGTCACAGCTGTTTAAGAAGTTGACCATGGGCGCGTTCTTCTGGACGTACAAGTTCAAATTCGGCGATGGGGGAGAATGGGGGTTTGTGCCAATGTGTGAGCGTGAGTGTCTAACCAATGGCCAGTGTAAGGCGCTAAGCGATGGTGACTTGTACGCAACATTGGAACAGAAGTTCTCGGAACACTGCAGCTACTGGGACTCTCAAAATGGCAATGCCAAATATGAGCACTGGAGGTATAAAGAAGGATTCATCACCGGGTGTAATGATTCTCTGGCCTTTGCACAGCTCGCCTCGTCGTCTGTTGGAAGCAAGAGGTGGATCAACAGCCGTAAGAGAGAACATGTGCTCAAGTTCAAGAGCTCGAGTCAAGAGTTTGTGTGGGAGTGGGAACACGGCTACGCAACAGCTTTGTCACTGTTCCAGTAGGTCTAGTCTCTGCGGCCTGATCATCGATCACTCGTTACCGCCTTTTTATGATTATTATTAGTGTTTAAGTCTTCGCTTTATGGCCACCCGGCATTGCGTGTAGCCCGATGTCCAGGGACTTGAGAGGTATAAGCTTCCCCTTTGACTAATCCGCTTCACCAAGCGTCCAATGTCCGTCATTAAATGTAAGCATTTCTTTTTTGGCTGACATTAAACTGTAACGTCTAGTCCCTTCCATGCATCTCCAAAGATGAACAGGCAAGTCAAAGATTAGATTTAGGCGGTGGGAACACACACGGGAAAAGAAGTCTCGCCCGCCAAAAGCTTATTAAGAAAAAACCACCCCGACACACGAAAAGTGTGGACATGTCTTGTCTTTCCGCGGCAAACAACCCACAGGCCCTCCAAAAAAAAAAAGGTCTGATACAAATCCAAGGGCGGACAAAAAAGGTATAAAAGAATAAACGATTTCCAGACTTGTCTCAGATTGTTGAACACCCACAAATTTTACTCCCCTTGGATCGTTTGTATGCTAAAGAGCCTAAGAAGACTTTTATCAACAACTTCGACCAATTATAGCCAAATGACCCATCAGAAAGTTACAATCATCGGAGGTGGCCCAGCTGCCCTGACTGCTGCGCTCTATCTCGCCCGTGCTGAGATCAAGCCAACCGTCTACGAGGGACTGTTAGCCAACGGTATCGCAGCCGGTGGTCAATTGACCACCACCACGGAGATCGAGAACTTCCCAGGTTTCCCAGAGGGGCTGACCGGTACCGAGCTGGTTGAGAGAATGAAGAAGCAGGCTGAGAAGTTTGGAACTGAGGTGATCACTGAAACCGTGGCCAAAGTTGACCTGAGCTCGAGACCTTTCAAGTTCTGGACCGAGTGGAACGAAGACGCTGAGCCAATCACAACCGATGCCATCATCCTCGCCACCGGTGCCTCCGCAAAGAGACTGAACTTGCCAGGCGAGGAGACGTATTGGCAACAGGGTATCTCTGCCTGTGCTGTTTGCGACGGTGCTGTTCCAATCTTTAGAAACAAGCCACTTGCCGTGATTGGTGGTGGTGACTCTGCCTGTGAAGAGGCGTTGTTCTTGACCAAGTACGGTTCCAAGGTGTACCTTGTTGTTAGAAAGGACTACCTCAGAGCCTCAACCATCATGCAGAGACGTGTTGAGAAGAACGACAAGCTCGAGATCCTCTACAACACCGTGTCCGTCGAGGCCAAGGGTGACGGTAAGCTGCTCAATGCTCTCCGCATCAAGAACGTGAAGACTGAGGAGGAGAGCGATTTGCCTGTGAACGGTTTGTTCTACGCCATTGGCCACACTCCAGCAACGTCAATTGTTCAAGGACAAGTTGAGACCGATGCCAACGGCTACATCAAGACCGTTCCTGGTACTACACACACATCTGTGGAGGGCTTCTTCGCAGCTGGTGATGTCCAAGATGAGCGTTATAGACAGGCCATCACATCTGCTGGTACCGGTTGTATGGCTGCTTTGGATGCCGAGAAGTTCCTATCCGAGCAGGAGTAGACGTAAACAAATAGCCCAGTGTCGAATTTCTTTGATATATATAGTTATAAACTGAAAGAGTTAATCATCACTTCTTCCTCAATTGTAGTTGTCTAACTTCCTCATCCAACTGCTTGACTTTCTGCTGAATTTCATCCAAGTCTTCGTTCAATCTGTTTCTCTCGTTGACGATGTTCTGCTCCCACTGTCTGAATCTCTGCTCTTCAGCCTTGACCTGGTCTGTGAAGAACTTCTTGAGCGCATTCTCTTCTTCTTTGAACTTTGGGTTTTGGTACTTTCTGTACCCGATAGAGTCGTTGCCTGAACTGGATTCGCTGGACGACATCTTGAGGGTTCTAAAGGCCTCGTAGTGCAGAGTCTCTGTCGATTGGATGAGATCTAACAGGTTTGTTCTCAGCAGCAACGATCTCAGCTTTCTAAAGTCGGAGTACTGTTCATTCTCCACCTCGGCGAGCCCCCATGGATACTTTCTGGCACGGATCAGTTCGCCGTTGCCGTTATCGTACTCGTACTCTGAACAGATGATGGCAAAAGGCATGCTCTCAATCAACGCCTTTGAATGGTCAGCAGCAGCCTGGTCATCCAGCTCGATAGGAGGCGTATAGATTCTAATCTCCTGGGCCTCAATGACAGAACGGATTCTGTTCTTGAACCCACTCAGTTCACTTGGCGACAGCGTATCAGCCTTTGCAATGATTGGGATCAGATTCACCCTGGTTCCCAGTTTCTTCATCGTCTCGATGTCCAACGGCTTCAAAGAGTGTCCCGTAGGTCTGATAAAGTACAGGCAGGCGTGTACCCTCAAGTCGTGCTTGGAGTCACGGTTTGGCTGCTGCTCCTGTCTCATGAACGACTCGTGCTGGTCATCTATGAAGTCCACGATCGGCTGCCATGTGGCCCTGTTGTTGATGTTGTCTCCGAACCCAGGCGTGTCGATCAAGTTCACCCTGAGCTTGAAGTTCTTCTCCTCCAGCTCCGCACGGACAATGTCGATCTCCGTGGTCTTGTTCAGCGCCTTCTTGTGACGGTTCTTGTTGTCCACAGGCTGCTTCAAGAGCGTCTGGAACAGCGTGTTGATGAACGTAGTCTTACCAACACCGCTTTCACCGGCAACCATCAACGTGAAATGCCCACCTTGCTTAGATACAATCTTATACCTTCACAGTAACAGTTAGCGATATAAACATCAAGACACCCGCACACGGGGGGCAAGGCCTGAGAAACAGCTCAGCAAAGCACACTCACCTTTGGTTAGGAAGCGAAGAGATTCCAATTGGCTCCGACACAGTCATTTTACTGCTATTCTCCGTTGGTTGATACTGGCTCAATGCTGTAACCTTGTGAAAGAGAAACACGAAGCCTTAAAAAGGGTAGAATTTCGTGAAATTTTGGCGAAAATGTCGCGTTTGATCGAGGAATGGTTTCCTAATGGGGAAAGCTTACCGAAAGCGGAAGTGCCGTGGTCCCTGGGCCTTCATAGTTGGAAACGCAGATTATATAATAATTAAAGCACGCATCTATAATAATCATATAACTATTACCGTATAACGGTCAAATGTCCAGCTTGTCCAGCCTATCGGTGAAGTCCCGTACTATCAGCGCTATCTGCTCAACCATCTGGAACTCCGCTGCGATCTCGTCGCACTGGCCGATGACCCTCTTCAGCGAGTCGATCGCCAGTTGCACGGCCTCCAACTGCTCGTCAACCTGTTGCTCCTGTACCTCCACGTACCGTTGGCACTCTTCGCCAATGCCATCGACACGGTCTTTGATCTTGTACATCAGATAGTCAAACGTCAGCGAGAGCTGTTTGATGCCGAGTGGGTCTGTCAGCTGGAGCTCCTCGGACTCGGACTCGGATGACGAGCGTGAAACAGTGGTATCGTCCATTGCAACAGCCTTCGCCTTGTCCAACGGCAAACGGCCCCTTGGCCACCACCTCTGACTGTGTTGTTGTTACACGATTATGCAAACGTACGGTGGCCTTCCCCAAGACCATGTACACCCGCACACCAATATTTGTACACCCGAACACCACAACACCACAGGCCGGGTAACCCCAAGACGTCCCTACTTCCCCCAAAACAGGCACACCCGCACACCACTAAAGGGGAGATAGTGGATTTTAATCCCAGCCACCCACCTTTTCTCGTCGGCTTTCGATCCTCATTCTCTTCACTTTTAGCCGTTGTCACCATACGATATCAGTCAATTGAGCCGAGATTGAACTGAACTGGATACAAGGTCTGATTCCCTGGCATAGACGTATACCTTTCCACCAACTGTTTGTCTTGTTTGCCCGGTTGAAATGTCCGCACCACCTTCGTCATCCCTCGTGAGAAAGATCTGTACGTATACGTCTTCCCCCTAATGGCTTGAAAGTTTGCCAGAGACAGAGACATTCAACTAACCATTACGCACAGATCGAGCCTGTAGAAGCTCGCTTGCTGAGCCTGACCTGTCGCTGAACCTTGCGGTTGCTGACTACATCAATGAGAAGCAAGGCAATGCACCACGTGAAGCTGCTAAGACTGTGGTGAACCTCGTCAATTCTAAGGACACCCACACTGCCATCTTTGCGCTGACCCTGTTGGACGTGCTGGTGAAGAACTGTGGGTATCCGTTCCACCTACAGATCTCCAGAAAGGAGTTCCTGAACGAACTGGTGAAGAGGTTCCCGGAGAGACCACCTTCAAGATACTCCAGAGTGCAGAAGATGATCCTCGGTGCCATTGAAGAGTGGAACCAGACGATCTGTAAGACTTCGAGACACAAGGAGGACCTCGGGTTCATCAGAGACATGCACAGACTGCTGACTTATAAGGGGTACATCTTCCCAGAGGTCAAGCCTGAAGATGCCTCAGTGTTGAACCCATCTGACAATCTGAAGTCCATCGAGGAGGTTCAAAGAGAGGAACAGCTGGCTCAATCTGCAAAGCTACAAGAGCTGGTTAGACGTGGTAGACCTCAGGACCTGAAAGAGGCCAACAAGCTGATGAAGATCATGGCTGGGTTCAAAGACGACACCATTGTGGAGAGTAAAGCGAGAGTTGCGGAGGACTTGGATAGACTGAAGAGAAAGGCCGATGTGTTCAGCGAGATGCTTCAGCAGTCCACCAACTCTGGCCAGTTCGATCCTAACGATGAGACATTGGTTGAGCTCTTCAGTGCTTTGAAAGTTGCCCAGCCAAAGATCCAAAAGATCATCACAGAGGAGCAGGACGACCCAGATGCGGTGCAAAACTTGCTACAGCTGAACGACTCTGTGAACCTGCTTGTTGATAAGTTCAACTTGCTGAAGGCTGGCGATTTGACTAATGCTTCAAAGATCAAGGTTGCTTCGAATGGCTCAGGCGTGCAACAGTCCTTGAACCTGATTGACTTTGACGATGACGACTCAGCCACGGCAACTCCACCACCTCAACAACAAGGTACCACTGTTGACGACCTCTTGGGTGATTTGAACTCGTTATCGTTCAACAACCCTCCACAGGCCAATTACGGACTCGGTGGTGATATCTCGCTTGGTGCAACATCACCACCACCACAATCTTTAAGCCCACAACAATCTTCAGGACCAAACTACGACATCTTTGCACAGTTGTCCCAGCCTTCCACTTCGTCGCCTTCTGTTGCAGCCTCTGCTCCATCATTTGATCTCTTGAGTGGATTCTCTCAACCTCAACAACAACAACAGCCACAGCAGCAGCAGCCACAACCACCACAGCCATCGCTCAAGCAGAGAACAGTGGTCAACGAGTCACAGCACTTGAAGTTTGAAATCGACGTTTCTAAGCACTCAGACAACTTCATCTCTGTCAAGGCCTTCTTCACGAACTTGGGTGCCATTCCACTGACAAACTTCCAATTCTTAATCGCAGTTCCAAAGTCCTTAACCTTGACTTTGGATCCTCAAGTTGGCTCCTTTATCCCAAGCTTTGGTAAAGATTCAGTAACCCAATCTTTCAAAATTGCTTCACAGCAGGGCTCTATTCCTTCATGGAAGATCAAATGGAAGGTGAACTACTCAATCAACGGCTCCCCAATTGAGGAGACAGCAACTTATACAATAACAGTCTAAGGATGCACCTCAACTTGTTAGATATACACTAATGTTATAAAGCCACTGACCTGGGAGGAGCTTCTTATATATTGCTGGTTTTAACCCACTATTCTTTATATGGGGTGAGTGGAAATTAAAATCGTTATGTTATCATTGTCGTGAATGTATCATTATATCTGTTTGATCACAATGATGAATTGTACACTTTATACTGTTTACAGATGGAGATATTGTCATTAAAAAGTCGTTAGAGGAGGAAAAAAAGAAAGCCAAAAATGCCCAATATGGTTGATCTATCCTGACAAGCCTGCATCATTACCCTTAGGATTGGCGTTGGTTGTAGATCCATTGTCGATACTAGCTTGCTGACGCTTTTGTTGCTGTTCTGCGTGCAACACCTTTAGCATATCCAGCTGTGCCTTCTGTTCTGGAGTTAACTTTGTAGAACTTATCGTTGAGGAAACCTCACTTCCTTCATTGGCAAGATGTGATGTTCCATTATTTGAAGCACTGGCAGCTAACCTCTGTTGCTGCTGTTGCAAAATTTGCTGCGGTGTAGGGACAGAAATAGACTTGTTTTGTGCTGCTGGTGAGCCATGCTGTGAACTTCTCTGGCCAGCCAAGCCACTAGTATTGAATTTTGCAGAGTTGTTAGTGTTGTTCGTGTTGCTTGCTGGGGTGGTACTGGTGGTCGTAGTATTAACGGCAGTGGCAGCGGCAGCAGCAGCTCTGGCGTTCTGTTTCGCTTGCAAGTTGGCGAGATATTGTGCAGCCATGTTCGTCACTTCTTGCTTTGACAAATTTGGATGTTGTGCTTGAATTTGACTAATAATCGCAGAGACATGAGCCGGAACAAAAGCTTGTTGACGAGACACCGGTACAGTCTTAACTGTATTTGAAAGACTGGCTGCTGATTTAGCCACTTGCGTGGGGTTACTATTAGAGCGTTGAATATTAACAAGCTGAGCTTGTGCACCATTAGGAGATGGAGAACCTTGAGCCACACCATTAGCCAATTTTCTTTGTCTCATCTGAATAATCTGTTGAATCTGTTCTGGAGTGTATGATGTTCCAGATACATTCTTTAACCCTGGAACTTGTGTGGCCCCATTGTGTTGCTGTTTAGCAATTGACTGAGCAGGGACAGAATTTGGTCTCTGTTGTTGTACTTGTTGAGATTGTTGTACTTGCTGGCGCTGCTGCTGCTGCTGCTGTTGTTCTTGTGCTTGTGCTGGTCTGGCCTGAATTTGGGTGTTATTACCTCTTTGGACAGCTTGCTGACCAGTCTGTTGCACTGGATGAGCAGCTGCAGCTTTGTTATCATTTCCAGCAACTACTCTACGTTGTTGGTTAGGAATATAAGCTTCCTGGATAGCCTTATCTCTCTCAAATTTCAACTTCGATAACTCTGCAGGTGTTGGTGCAACCAACTTTTTCTCATCAATGTTCTTTCTTTGATGATTTGAGTTTGGTCTTGTCACACTCTCTCTCTTTCTCATACATTTCCGAATCGCTTCAAACATACTAGCCCAACGGAGCCTTTTGTGACCTCTTTGAATGGATTCCACACCAACACCCAGTGGTGATATACGTCTCTTTGTTGTAGCCTGGATATGATGTGCGTGCTCCAGCCATTTGGTGGCAGCCATATAGTTGTGTCCCCTCATATCACCAATCTGAAAAGCATCGTTTAGTTGAATGTATCTTTCAAAGCATTGCCATGGGGTTCTTCTTTCAATATTTGATTGGTAACTTCTCGTAGGTCTCTTTGACAAATGAGCAGAAACAATTCCCCAATTGAACGAGAATTGATTAACGTATTCAATCAAGTTTTGGTCATCTTCAGGCAGCCATATCGTTGGAGTTCTCAAATTCAAATATCTTAAACTTGGAGGTTGTGGTGGTTTAATAATCGTACTCAGTCTATTACGAGACGAGAATCCAAACAAACCCTTTTGTTGATCAGGTACACTATTGTTATTATCCTCTGTCTGCTGTAGGTAGCAGTTAAACCAAGTTTCATCCTCCTGTGGTAAAAGAGCCTTTGAAACTGGAATCAATGGTGCCCTATCATAACAATCGTTGAACTTCTCAAACGTTCCAAAAGTTGGTATACCATCAAACAAAATCTTATCTGAATTTTTGAAATCATTCGTATCAACTTGTAATTTAAATGGATTAGGCTCCTCTGTTTCCAAATATTTGTTATACTCTTCAAGAGTAGACTCGGGAAGTTCAGCAGGTGTGATTTCATCAGAAGGTTGGGGTCTCTCCAAAAGTCTTGAATTGTCTGTGTCATCAACATCCATACTGTCTGATTCTGCTTCTTTGGACTCTTCAATATTAATAAAATCCTCCAACTTGACCTCATCTTCTTCATCTGTTGTAATATGAACAATTGGTCTTGTCTTTATACAACAAACTTTCCCAAACTTCCAATAATCCTGTATGGATTTTGCAATAGTTGCACATGTTGCAACTTTGAACTTTCTCTCCTCTTTGAAATCCACACTCATCCAGCTCATCTCTGATAATAAGTTTTCCCAATGCGATCTCTTTTTAGAATTCAAAAGAGGATCCACAAACCTCTGCGGTTGTTTCAAACTCCATTTCCCCTGTCTCTTCAACTCCTCGATTCTTGAGTGCACAACGTTGATTTTCCCCTCTGTTAACGCAGTTTCGTACATCGATGAGGTGACAACTTTGTGAGTCGTCGGCATCAATTTGACAAGTGGTAATGTCTGAGCCAAATAGTACAACTCAGCCAAAGGTGTAACCTCTGCAACTTTCGCAGGTAGGTAGTTCTTTAGCACAAGAATCAAGGTGTTAATATTATCCTTGTTTACAGGGTCAAAAAGTTCCAACGGGTGATCCTTCTTGTGCTTCTTAAAGGACTTCTTGATCGCCTCCTCCGAGTTTATCACTGAAGATGCAATTGTCTTGGATGGTATCACAATCTGTGGAGGAGGAGGCGGTGGTGGTGGAAGTATGGACTGCTCCTGTTGTTTCACCACCGGTGCAACCTTAGGCACCGGCGCAGGTTCGATGATCTGTTTTGTATCAGTTGGAACAGTCGACTTTCCAACGATGATCTCTGGTTCCTTCGGTGTATTGTGAGAACCAGCTGTCTCAGCTGCTGCGGTTGTGACACCTGTGGACTTCTCTGTACTGTCCAACGCCTGTGCAGATGGGGAGCCACCTGTGGCATCCCCACTATCGAACTGCAACAGCGGCAACTCCGCCGGATCAAATTCACTCTCTATGTCATGGCTCTCCACAAACGCTCGTACACTGTCCTTCGTCGTCGTCAAAGGATCATCATCCCGCACAGTCCATATCTTCGAAAGCGATGAGAGCGTGTAGAGCTCTGCCAACTTCCTCTTGCGGCTCCGGACGATCTCGGTGGCCAGTTGCTTCCGCTTATCAACCGCCTCGACCCTCACAGTCTCTATGCTTGCCGCCATGGTAAATTGGGCACCGTTTCAACGTCAACGAGTAAACAAAACACAGCGGCAACGGTCAAAACACACAACACAAACAAACGCCAGCACAGAAAAACACGGTAGAACAACAAATGCCAGAGTGAAAGCAGGTGGACGGGGAAAACACACACGCCGCCACGGTTACCGCCCAGTTAAACACAACAAAGTAAACAAAACCACGACAAAACGGGGGAGATGTGTTGATTTTTGTTGGTGGGCAAAAGCGCTGATTTTGTTGTCTGTCTCTGTTAGAGCTCTTTAGAAGAGGGAGAAAAGCGGAATTTTGGTGATGTTTTTTTTCTTCTTCGTTGTTTTTTTTTTTCTTTGTTTTTCAAATTTGGACATTCCGCGATTATTTCCTCTTACGGGAACTGCCTAATTGGGAGGTTTGTTTACTTTTTTAACCTTGTGTATGTGTTTTTAAGCCTGGTCTGTGCTTGCGGGAAAAGCTCTACACTACTTTCAACGCCAAAGGCACCGGTGTGATCTCTCTTTGTCAGTCATCGCAGCCATGGCAAAGCTTAAGGAGTTGGATGTGCAATGCTTCAGTATCCTGGACGACGACTCTCTGCTGGAGGAGGACAAAGTGGACAAGATGGAAGAGATTGTGAGGACTAAATATCCCAACATGAGCGCCCAGCAGCTGGAGAAGACCATCATGGATGTCATGTGGAGGCACAAGGATCCCTCGAGGGCACAGACACAGCTGCCCACGGTGGTGAAAGTGGAAGAGCGTGAAATGAAGATAGACATTCCGAGCTTTGAGCGGAGAGTGCAGCTGCAAAAGCAGTGCTTGGAATTGCAGGCGATGGAGGAGGAGGAATCAAAGAGCGAGTATAAGAGTCTGCTCCAAAGGACGAACCAGCTCTCTGATGAGCTCTACAGTAACGCAGACTCGAAACGGCCAGCAGCCAACGACTCGCCATTGGATCAGCTGCTTGCGATGTTTGACCATAGCGTAACAAAGGCGAGGATAGAACAGGCATTGAGGAGCACAGGATACGATGTCATCTCTGCTGCCAATTTGATCCTTACGCAGCTGAAGAGGGAGACAGGCGTGGAGCAGTCCACCGTGGACTCGGAACACAAGAGCCCATTCTTTGGTGCTGGAAAGAACGTCAACGTTGTTTGCAGCTTCTTCACCAAGAATGGATACTGTCTAAAATCAGACTGCCGGTTCCGTCATGATATTGAGAATAGAACTTGCAGCTTTTGGCTTAGGGGAAACTGTCTAGCTGGTGATAACTGCCTGTTCCAACATAACTTGGGCTCGTTGTCTGCCCCTCCAAGCTCAACAGGTAAATCTACATCGACATTTTCCCCAGAAACGACACCATCATTTATACCAACTTCTTCGTCTTCTCCGTCATCGATGCCCACTTCAAAGGCCAGTCTAATACGGTTGCCTCTAAGGAAACCTAAATCGATACCATGGGAATCTAGCGACCCCAGGTTCGAGAAATATAACCATTTCCGCAAGAATGCGGCCAAGGCAGAAGATTTGAGGAAGAAATTTGCCCGTATATCAACAGAATCGTGGAAATCTAACGACGGATTGAAGTCTAAACAGTACAGTACAAAGGCAAATGTGCAGGAGGAAAAATACTTTGATGCTCTAAAGTTAGCAGATGACGAATTGGCGAAATACTCTGACTCAAACGATGATGAAGTTTGGTTTGAAATGCACGGTTACGATTTCAACGATGCCATTGAACAACTGGGGTCGTCATTAACTGAAGTGAAAAAGACTTGTCACAAGAATTCCAAAATTGTCTTCATCGTTGTTCCTTCAACATCCGATTACTCTCAGTATAAGAAGACTACGAAACCTATAACCATATGGCTTGACCACAACGGGTACAGGTGGGAAATTCACAGCTGTGGTGCTACTAACATGGGTTCAGTAATTGCCATTGATCCATGGTCTGTTTGATATATATTAATTGTTTAGTCATTGAATTCAAAAGGCCTCTGCAATAGCATCTTCCAGCTCAACGATGGATTTGAGCAGCTCGTCGTGTCCGATGAGAATAAAGGATTGAATCAACCCTTTCTTAGACTCCAAAGAGTTTGTATATAGAGCATTCGACTCCAAGAACTTATCCTCATCGTGGAAGTAGTCAACCTCGACAGTCTTAACCTTCTTGTTGGAGTTCTGCTCTGATTCCTCGTTGACCTCGAACTTCCGGGATGGTATCAAGTAATAGTCATAGTGTTCACCTTCTGCCTTGGCAACGTCCTCCAACACAATCTTGTACAGAGCCGGTATAACTTGAATTGGCATGTTGATAAATCTCTCATTGATCAACAGCGCAACCTTCTTATTCGAAACTTTGGCAAGCTGGGTCGATAGCCCCAAGTCTGTTTGGTTTATATACTTCCAATAGTCACTGGACTTGACGTCCTTAACACTGATTGGAGCTAAAAACGCATACGGATCCGACTCCTTACCGTCGGTCTTGATCGTTGTAGTTGGAGAATCGAGCACAACATCAGTAAGCCCAGACAAGTTGATCTTCTTACTATCTTCGCCCAGCAATTGACGTAGAAGATTCTTGATAGCATGGAAGTCAACGTCCTTGTTCACATCAAAGAAGTCAAAATCAACGTTGACGATCTCCTCGTCCTGTTCTTCATCAGAGCTCTCGTTTTCCTTTTGTGCTGTACGTTAGCGATCTATACCAGAAAACAAGCAAACACGCATACTCACTGAATCCGTGGTGTCGACGTCAATATCTGACTCTTCTTCTTCCTCGATTCTTCTCTTTGCTGACATCGCTTTCTGTACTTCGGCTGATAGATTTATGGGTCGAAACAGCTCATCGCACTGCTAAAATTTTGAGCACTGGGCATTTACACCTCTGCTGTCTCTACCAATAATATGCACCATGCAATATCATGTAGCCTTGGGCCTAGTTATGGTCAAGCAGGAGCGAGTTGTGGTCGATTTGTTCATAAGAGTTGTGATCTTCCACCAATTTGCACGTGATTTATGGTATGGGCACATTATTATCGTGACTGTCCTCTTAGTTAGAAATCCCTCAATTGGACAACGAGACGCCAGTCTCGACTGTTCATTTGAATGGAAAAGATTTCACTCTTTTCCTATTCCTTATAGTGTTGTTTTAGAACACACACACACTAAGACTATTATATTGACAAACTCACAACTATTGATATTATATCATATTATTGAATCATACATTTATTTGATCATATTATTGTTATTATCGCATCCCAGTATTCTGCTTGATTAAATCAAAGAAGAGCTATCGGATAATATTGTGAATTGCAATACCTAGTACTTATACCTGAACCCCGAAGAGCACAGAATAAATTAAAATTTTAATTTAAAACCTGTTCTACGAAACCTGTTCTACGAAACCTGTTCTACGAACCGTTATAAGAAACTTGTTATGAACAAATCTGTTATAAGAAAGCTGTTATAAGAAGTTGTTTACAAACATTGTTACTCAATTATCAATCGATTGAATCATTCAATTCTTCGGAATGAGTAAAGGTACTAGAAGCAAAATCAAGGCCAAAGAAGCTGCTGCTCGTGAGAGAAACCGTGAAAGGACTCATGAAGAGACCTCTGAACATTCCTCCCTTGATGACTATGAGGATGTTCCCTCTGACTTTGACAATGATACTTCTAGAATGGAAGAAGAAGATGATGATAACAATAATGGTGTTTCAATGACCATGAACGATTTCATCAAGATCTACTTGAAGGATAGGGAAGAACGGGAGAAGCATGACAAAGAGGTCGATAAGACTCTCGCTGAAGTCACTAAGTTCATGGGAAGAGACAACAATCCTGAGAACAAGCCAACTGGCACTCCTGAGAAAACTCCTCCGTTCAAAAAGAACTTTGATCCCGAGGCCTTTTCTGAGAAGTACAACTTTGGTACTGGCAGATCCAATGCTTCCAACCCCAAGGTGAAGAAGTTTGAAGAGTCTAGGCCTAGGATCTTCAAAACTACTCCTGTTGAAGATGGATTGTTGAAGCTTATTCAGGATGTTAAGCCAAATCTTATTCCCCTTGCGGATGCTGAGAAGAGTTGTATCATGGAGGTCGGCGGTCCTGGCTCCAACTACAGCGCTTCCCGTCCTAGAATCATCGACTCTGATCCACGTAACATGACCATTGACGAAAGGGTCACTTGGTTAATGTCTGCTCAGCAATTCTGTACTTGCAATCGATTCAGAACTGATCAATGGGTCTATATGATCCTTGTTGAATCTGTTAAGCATGAGCCTACTGCTGATGGAATTGATGGACTCATTGGTAATAGAGTTGGTGGTGGCCACTCTTATGTTGTTGGTTGTTGGAAAGCTCTGCTTCTCTACTTTTTTGCTGATGAACGTGAACTATACAGATATCTTCTTAAGAAGTGTCAGCGTTTGAGTAACGTGATCATTCGTAAGAATACCAGTGTTAACGCCACTTTGATCGAGTGGGCTGAGAAATGGAGAGGTATTCACAAGTTCAAATTGAATTTTACTCAAGGTCTGTACATTATTAGAGACATTCTTTATGATCTGGTTCCACAAACTACATTTGATTTCCAGCATGTCCAGAACTGGGGTCACCTGGCTGACTTTCTCCGTGAAGTCAACATTGGTGTTATTCCATCTCCTGCTGAAGACTATGTCTGGTCCAAACCTGATGACGTGGATGTTCTTGTTGGTAAACCATCACAAGTCATTCAGTTCAACCAAATGGCAAACTCTGATGACACTGAGTGTGAAGTTGAAGGAGAACCCAATGTCATTAAGTATAATAATGGTAAGAACAATGGCAACTATCAACGTGGTTACAATGGTCAAGGGAGTCGTAACTCTTACAACTCTGATGGTAAGAACAATGGTAAGAACAATGGTAAGAACAATGGTAACTATCAACGTGGTCACAATGGTCAAGGGAGTCGTAACTCTTACAACTCTGGTGGTAAGAACAATGGTAACTATCAACGTGGTTACAATGGTCAAGGGAGTCGTAACTCTCACAACTCTGGTGGTAAGAACAATGGTAAGAACAATGGTAACTATCAACGTGGTCACAATGGTTATGGCAATGGAAACTCCTACAACCGTAACTCTTATGGTTACAATGGTGGAAATGGAAATAACTATTCCCAGTCAACATTTCCTAGTGGTACCCATGAACAACACAGTGGAATCCACCTTGGCTGTTACTGTCATTACTGTTCTCACGCCAAACAAGACGCTATCAAATGGTTACTCATGTTAGCCAAACAGGAAAGATCACGCAAGGAAGTTAACCTCGTTGACATCAATGAGAACAAGACTCCTACTAACCAGAAACTTTATTACTTGGAAGAGGTCATTTCTGAAATCATGTCGGAAGATGGTAACGAATACAACCCGGTTATCAGACGTATGAAGGAAGATGCTGGTCTAGCCACTGATCCTGATCTTTTGGATGTTGAGGTCATTGAGGCTAGGAATTCCACAAGCCACTGAATGTGTTACTTCACATCAAGTTCTATCCTTGCTACTTTCCTCTATTTCCAAGAATCAAGATGGTATCTCTGAACATTTTACTCCGTTGTTGACTGATCTTTCTGTCCAACCTGGTACTTTATTCTCTGATATGATCTCATTCTCGTCTACTGTTCCCGCTGCTCCCGATTTTGTTATTTCGGAGACTCCTGATGATACACAATCTCCCCAACTGTTGTCTATGGATCTCTCCCCTACCCCTATTAAGATTCTCATTGATACTGGTGCTACTACTTCTGTTCTATCTGCCATTACTCTTGAGAAGCTTAATACTCCCCATCGCTTTGGTCAGCTTACCCTATCTGTTTGTGAGAGAAACGAATGTGCTTCTAAGCTGGCTACTGATGATCAACTTTTCATTACTGTTGCTAATGGTGCTCGCATACCTGTAACAAGGTCTGCTTGTGTTAATTTGCAATTTGGTGATGAAACTATCCACTTCAGGGTACTTGTTGTTGCTGCTTTGGCTGGTAATACCGTACTTCACGATACGTTAGTATTGGGAAAGGATTTACTTACCAAACTTGGTTACTCAGTTACCACTGAAGGTGAGAAACTTGGTCCGGTCAAGTTGAGTACGCTGGTGGCGTTACCTCTTGATCCGGAATTTGCTGTTTATTCCGCTGTTCTACACTCGGAACCGAAACCAATCGAAGTCATTGATGCTGTTGCAGATGCTTCTGCTGTTTCTGACCGTGCTATTAGTTACCTAGATCCCTATGAGGTTGTAGAAAAATGGTTGTCGTCTTGAAAGAACCAGTGGTAGTGAATGGTATATTCATGGCGCACTAAT